GTTTCGAATTATTCTTATTCAAGTATGGCTGTAATGGGACCCAGTCTCAAAAGCTGGCATATGCTAAGCCAGAATGGTCAATCAAGGAGGATTAAGGGACGCGGCTTCAGGCATCCGGATTACGCGTCGGCTTTTGATGGCTCAGAGGCTTTTGATGGCTCAGAAAATTTGATGATTGGCACTCCAATTTGGACTTTGATATTGCCTCTATGCTGGAGAAGACTGTGACTGATTTATCATTGCACTTTGGCCTATTGATTTATATCATACTTGTTGTTATGCTTATTTGATTTACATTATACTTGCTGTTATGCTTATTTGATCATTATACGCTTATTTGCTTGTAAGTTATTTTTTGCCAAGTGGTGTTCTTTTTTTTTGGTTCTCCTTTTTCAGAGTCAGAATCTTTTGGAGAGCTACCAGAACAGCTTAAATTGTCATCAGACTCGTGGGCACTTTTTGCTTCTTCTTGTGTGTTGTCTTCTGCTGTTCCTTTGTCTTTTGTCGCTCTTCCTAGTTGATCCAGAAAAGACTTTGCTTTCTGAGCAGAGTTAATCTTCATTTTTTGATCGTTATACATGAATGTAAGTCCTTCTAACCATCTGTAGGGGATGGAATGATCATGTAAAAATAAGTTAGATTTTTATATTGTTGTCTCCTTTTTCTTATTTCAAATGGAATGTCCTTCAAAACTTTCACTTCTTCGCCTTTGATTTTGAAAGGGTTCCCAGTTGTCGCTTTCAAGATTACATCTCTCGTAGACCTTTTGGAGAATTTAACAAATATTTCATCAGGAAGCTTATTTTTCTTGATAAAATCCAGATAGGTTCGATAAACCAAGTCCATATCACTTTGTAGTATATCCGCTTTAAAATCTATCACTGGTGCCAATGCTTCGCTTAATATTTCTTTTAGAGTCTCCCCTTTCTGTCCTGGGACCCCTTGAAAACGTAGTACATACATTGATTTCTCCATTTGAAGCCGTAATAATTGCTCTTTTTTGGAGATCCATTCTTTTCCCACTTCCTCCAGTCGCAGTTTGATATCATCTGTCTTAGCATCCACTTGTTTAATCGCTTTATCCGTTTAATCTGCTCTCTTATCCATTCCCACCAATTGCTTCTGGAAACAGTCGAGTTTATTATTAATGTTAGACATCTGGTCCAGCAGAGGGTGCAATGCCACTGCCATCATAGTAGGGAAGTCAGAAACTGCTTCCAAAGTTGAAGTAGAAGCCGCAGAATGGGTAGGACCAGGAGGACTTTTTCTCCACACCATTTTCTCTGCTCTTCCCAACATGTTTACACAAGATAAGACTCATTTAAACAAGCTGAAAGTTCATCAGTTTCAGAGTGCTTTGGGCTATTTTGCACCCTATTTGCTTTATTTAAAGATCCCTTGTTGCTGTCATCGGTTTGCCTCCAAACTGCCGCACAGAAATCGCTGTTTTTTGTGGGGGGGGGGAATCCCCTCCTCCTCCTCCCCTCCCTCTACATCTGGTTGGCGGTAAGTCCGTTTCTCAACTTTTTTGGCTCGTACAGCTTAGAGGGGCTCGCTTTACTCACAGTCCAATCAGTCCACTTTTCAGGCTGCAGGAAGATCGGGGTGTCACTTGATCACTTGCCTGTTTTGTTCGGTGTGTGCCTCGATATCGCCATATTGGCCTCATGGCGGTAGGACCTTTTGGAGTAAAGGAGTGCCTCAATTCCTCGGCTGTCACCTTGGAAGAGGCACGCCTCGCACCCCAGGCTAGGAGCCCCCTACAAGGGTTCCGGTGTTAGCCATATTGCTTAATGTATTAATAACTATGGGGAATTATGATATTTAAGAGCAATTGGCATCGAAGCGGACACAAGCCTATGTATACAGAAGTCCCACCTTTTCCAGTAAAACCAAAAACAAACACATAAATCAAGTTTTTTTAGAGAAATTGATTCTTTACTGAGAGTTCTACACAAACATACAATAAATTCAAAAACACTCACAATTACACAGGCCTAAGATAGTTAGAAAGGAATAGTGACATGTGCTTGATCAGGTACAAACTTTGATTGGGTGATATTTGCCTGTCCTGAAGAGATAAAGTGATCCACAGGAAAAATGAGGAGACTATAAGGAAATAATGGTTGTATTCTGAACCAGCAGAACACGTGACTCTGGGCAGCGCTACAAGAGTCAACAGGATGGGGCAGGGTTTGGGCATGGAGAGAGAGAGCACATGGTCCTGCTCTTTTATGCACTGTGGGGCTGGCTTTGCTGGCCACCTCCCATGGCACGTCCCCTTCTGGTCCGTCCCCCCTCCCTGATTCGTCCCCCTGGACTCATCCTAGGAAGTAACCTAATCAAGAACCAGTTGCAGGAGAAACTGGTTTTGCAGGAGGATGGGGCAGGGGTGGACAATGTTGAAGCTAATCATTTCACCAGTGACACCTTTGGAGAACAATAGCTGAGTCCAGGGGTACTGTCTTTTGATGAATTTAGCTGGGCTCTTGCAGTCTGGCTGATGAGTTTGAGTGATAAGTCAGCCAGCTAATCCCTTCCTGGCAAAGGCTCCTTTGTTATGCTGTGGAGCCTAAATCCATCATTTGATGGAGGTGAGGGGGGGGGGGAAGGTTGAAGGAAAGGTTTTGCTCATGGAGTCTCTTTCAGGATTTTAAGTCCCTTTTGCAAAATATGGCATTTTGCCATGGCACATGGTTGCTGGCTTCATGGTGCTTCATGTGACTAGGGAGCTGGTCTCTCTTCCTGCTGCACTGCAGGTAAGAGATGGCAGGTAACCTAAGGAACTATTGGCACATCAGATCAGAAGATTTCTTCTGCTGGGCTGGCATCCATTTTCAGGGTCACCACACAATTCAGTCCCTTTTGCACACTAGCTGTACAGTCCAGATTACCATTTATGAACTATAAGTCCATAAGAGCACTATAAGCCTTGCAGGGCAACACCAGGGGGACTCGAAATAATTGGAGCCCCCTCCCGTCCACCGTGATCCAGAGCGCCTATACAGGAGTTCGATGGGGCACACCCGGTCCAAGAGTCGCCAAAACCGGAAGTCAGAAATCATTCTTATGTGAGATCACCCAGAATTAAAACTGTACTCTAGACAACAGAGATCTGTCCCCCTGGAGAAAATGGGTGGACTCTTATGGCTTTATATCTTCCTTCCCCAAACTCTGCACCCCTTAGACTTCACCACAGAATCTCCAGGAATTTTCCAACCTGGAACGGGCGATCCTATTCCCAGGCCTGGCTCCAACCCCCCCTCCTGTTTAGCCATTCATACTGCAAGAGGAATCCTTCCCAATCTAAACACTCCAGTTCTGCTTTTGCTTCCTGCCCTCTCTGTCTGTCTCTCTGTCTATGTGGTGGGGCCTCGAGTAGATCCCTGCAGAGGCCACTTCAAAAGGTATTGGAAGGGAGGAATTCAACTCTCCAAGGGTGCTTTTTAAATTTTTTTAAAATTTTTCTGCATTCCCACAGAGTCCCCCGAGTCTGTAGAAAAACCTGTTGGGAGAGAGTGTGCCCCCTGTCTGTGGTAATAAGTATCCACACGCAGTGGGAACTGTTGAGAATTAGATATATAAACAACTTGTGGAATTGCTGTCATTTGGAAAGATCCTACAATTCTCTGCTGTTAAGAAAATGTAATTATTGTACAGGGAATTGTTATAGGAAAGCTAGAAAATCAGAGCCAGTTATCTCACCCCTTTCCCTAAATATATATTTGCATTTGATCAAATTAGTCTTGATCTTAGCCCAGGCAAGCCCGATCTCGTCCGATCTCCGAAGCTAAGCAGGGCCAGCCCAGTCTACTATTTGGATGGGAGACCTCCAAGGAATACCAGGGTCGTGACGAAGAAGCAAGCGATGGCAAGCCACCTCTGAATGTCCCTTGTCTCCAAGCCACACTTAGGGTCACCAGAAGTCAGCTTGACTTGATGGCCAAAAAAAAAAAAAATTGCCCTGATCTTAGCCTACATTTCATGTCTATTAATGCTATTGGCAATTCAGCTTGTCCCAAAAGTTAACAAAGTGCTTTGAACATTTACCACTGAATTTTCACTAAAGCAATTTAGTTACAAAAGCTTCTACTCTGACAATTCTAACATAAAACCTTAAAGAACTCAAATGTGAAACCTGTATAGGTAATGTTGCTAAAATTTGCTTCCGTACCAGAGGACTAGAAAGCAGAATATGTTACAGTGATTTTTTAAAGGGGGCCCAGAGGAAGAAGAGGAGATTGGATTTCACTTGGAGTCTCAAAGCGGCTCATAAACTCCTTTCCCTTCCCCTCCCCACAATAGACACCCTGTGAGGTAGGTGGGGCTGAGAGAGCTCTTTCAAGAACTGCCCTTTCAAGGACAGCTCTTGTCAGAACTATGGCTTGCCCAAGGTCATCCAGCAGCTGCAAGTGGAGGGGTGGGCAATCAATCCCAGTTCTCCCAGATTAGAGTCCGCATGCTTAACCACTACACCAAACTGGTCCAGAGGGGATCTGGGAAATTACAGACAACTTAGCTTAACATCTGTTCTCGATAAATTAGTAGAAACTGTTATTAAAGACAGATTTATTTATTTATGAAAGAAAGTCCTAACTCACCAACCTTTGGGAGTTCTTTGACATTATATACTTGGACTCCCAAAAGGTTTTTAACAAGATACTACTAGTCCAAAGGCTCCTTTTATGGATTAAAAATTGGTTAAATGGCTAGAAACAGAAGAATAAATGGACAGTCATTGCAACGGAGGGAAGTGAGCAGCAGAATCCCACAAGAATCAGTACTGGGAGATGCGCTATTTAATGTGTTCATAAATGATTTGGAATTGGGGATGATGAGAAGCGTAGCAGTCAAGTTTGATGTAGGTAAGTGTAAGGTGATGCACAGTGGGACAGGAAGTTCCAACTTTAAATACATGCTGATGAGGTCCAAACTGGCAGAAACTGAGAGGGAAGATATTGTGAGGTTGTAGCAGTTAGAACAAGGCAAGCTACAAAGACTGTAATACAATTACTTTATTTAACAGGTTCTAGATTTGACTGTGATCACAAGGTGCTTCCAGACACAGAGGTTTCACAAGTCTGCGATAGGCTTGTGTGGCCAATGCGGATATTTTTCTTTGTCCGGTTTAGTTTCAGGAAATGCCTCATAGTAATCGTCAAATGTCATCTGCTCAAAAGGAATCATGGTTTTAAACTTTTGGAGCTTGAAAGAAGGAAAAAGAAACAACAGTCCATTAGTTCATAAAGAAGAATATTTAACACAGAATTTATTTGTATCCAGTGATCCAGAGGGTGCAAGAAGTACAGATCTTTGCTGCATTCTCTCCCTTCACATGGACTAACAGCCACACAGACTAGGGGCTAAAATGAGTAGGGGGAAGAAAGCAAAAATCCCCCTCCTCCAGAATCACAGCTCCCCTTCCAGAAGGGGAAGGAGGGGCAGCTTTAGACCCTTTCCCCTCCTTAACACAGGCTCTGACCAGCAGGGCCATTTGTCTACACAGGTCCTGCAACCCCAGGAATTAACTATCCAGGAGTCAAAAGGGACTACATGGTGTGGAGGGGGATGCATCACCTTTTGCTGACAGATTGATGGATCCATCCCACTGAGAGACAGACAACACAAACTTGTGCAGTAGCCTGTTTGTATCATGAAAACCACCAGCTTACCTCCTTCTCGAACTGGACAATACGGGCTTTTGAGGCTTGTATATAGGATGCAGCACTCTTGTTCTGCAAGAAAGAAAACTATTCAGTCAGCATACTGATGAAACTCTAGAATGCTGAAGATGCTAAGTAGGCTTAACTTTGGCTCAGATTCTGACGCTCTGCAGTGTCCAAAGCTACCATGAACATTTGACTAATAATTAAGAAAAGACGCTGTAGTAGACCTGATGAGGAACTCTTTTTCCCAAAACTTCAGTCATTTAATATCTGTAAATTCCATACAGTGAAGGTATTAGGAATACACATTCAATATTACAGTAAATATCCCTGCTGCAGTAAATTTCCAAGAACTGATGTATTTTCAGCCAATAAAAACTTCCAGTGAGCCTTTGAAGAAGATTAAAACCTAAGAAGTTGTTTTTAGTCTGTGGCTTGTATTGGGGGCTCTTTTTATTGTTGCTGGGCTTTTATGTGCATTTGAAGCATTACTGCCATTTCAAGTATTTTAATCACTGGATTTCTGTTGTTGTTGTTCTTTGCTAATTTCATATGGGTGTCTAGCACTTAATTTTCTTCCTTGTACCCACCCTAAATTGCTTTATCACATGCTGTAAGGTCTGTCTGAAGATAGCAAGAAGTCTCCACTTGTTTTTTCAACAAAAATATAGTCAGATATTTGCAACTTTACCTTACCAGTGCTAAAATTTCAGGAAAAGAAGTCCAGGTATATACTCTCCCACAACTGACAGAGTAAGATAAGCTACAAGCTGAGAATGATGACCAAGCCATTCTCCCAAGATGCAACGTACAAGAAGTTATGACCAGAAATTATAGCTCAATACGATCTGCCAAGATTTCTAGAAGACTCCTTCTCTTCACAAGTCACCTACATATACTCAAGAAATGATGGGCAAAAGTACTTACAGCCTCTTGTTCTTGAGCTTCTACTTTAGCTGTCTCATTATCCACAGGCTCGGGGACTTGAAATGCCTTATACTGTGAAATGTTAGAGAGAATATTTTTAAGGGTTGTTGTCTTTTGATTCTATCAGGTAGCTTTTCCCAAGTAGCACTGCCAGTGCTTTCTTCAAGCATCTCATCTATTAACAATGCAGAGTACAGTTACCGATGCAGCCATTAAATCTTCCAATCCAAGCCAGAGAATGGTAGGCATGCTCAAATCCTAATACATGAACCAAACTTTTTCTAGGCTGCACTTGGTGGCTCATTGCCTTGTTCCACAAGAAGAAAATCAGTTATGGGACCAGGAACTTGAAATCTAATCCCAGCTATTAATGCTAGTATTAAAGACATGTTAATGGCACTAAGGTTAAAAGTTGCAAATTGGCCAGTGACCTCTAAAAAAGAAAAAAGTAACAATAAAGATTAAGACCAAGACAATGAGGAATGGACAGAAATCTGGACCATAAATAAAATGCACACAATAAAGGAATATAATGTGGCATCCACAAAGAGCCCTATACTACTATTATATATTCAGACACATATCTCCAAATATACCATCAATTGCAATGTGGAGAGAAAAAAGCTGGGATCATTATATAATGGACAAAATCGCAAACACCTTCGGAGATAGTCAACATAGACCCAAAAATACACACTCCAAGTTTGTAAGAACTTGGTTCACCTTTATACAGTATATGACAGAACATGAATTTCTACCATCTAACCCAGCATATCTTGGATGGCTCAATTTCTAAGCAATGTTTGGGCTCCAAATAAGTTGTCACCTTTGCTACATTCAAACACGATACACTCTACTCATTAATACTCTTTATCTTGGCTTTTGTAAGGAGATTGTGCAATACGTTAACTGATTCTCTATTCTTCACTATAGTTATTGCTGTTAAAAAACAAAAAAGTACTTAATGTATGTAAGATATTTCTGCCTTACCTTTAATAAAAATCTATTTTATATATATATATATATTTGTTGTTGTTCAGTCGCACAGTCGAGTCCGACTCTTCGCGACCCCATGGACCAGCTCCCGCCAGGCCTTCCTGTCTTCCGCTGTCCTCTGAAGTTGGCTCAATTTCATGTTCGTTGCGTCGATGACACTGTCCAACCATCTCATCCTTTGCCGTCCCCGTCTTCTTTGACCTTCAATCTTTCCCAGCATCAGGGTCTTCTCCAGTGAGTGCTCCCTTCTCATTTGGTGGCCAAAGTATTTGAGCTTCAGTTTCATTATCTGGCCTTCCAGGGAACAGTCAGGGTTGATTTCTTTGAGGATTGACTGATTTGTTCTTCTTGCAGTCCAAGGGACTCTCAAGAGTCTTCTCCAGCACCATAGTTCAAAAGAATCTATTCTTCGGCGCTCGGCCTTCCTTATAGTCCAACTCTCGCAGCCATACATGACTACTGGGAATACCATTGCTTTGACCATGCGGACTTTTGTTGGCAGGGTGATGTCTCTGCTTTTTATCATGCTGTTTAGGTTCGACACATACATCCCAAACTCATACCCTTCCCATCAAAACCAGCACAATGACTGCTTTAAGTTTAAAGTTTTATAGCCTTAGTTTTATAGGAATATGAAGGGGTTTCATAACTACGCATCCTTCCCAGTGGGAACAGCTGGTATACTGAGAATGGAGGGAAACTATGTGTAGAGAACCCTTCTGTGCCCATATCTTGAGACAAAGAGCTACAGCATATTCCACACAAGTGCAGAAGCCTGCTGGAAAATAGCATTCCCATTAGTGTGAGTTCTGGACTCGGTTCATGCACAGACAGTCCTCATTGAGATTCCAGAACATCCAAAACAGTCAAATATTATAACACAGTCTCACCTTCTTCTCAAATTCATCCACCATGCCGGGCCTGGCAATCGTAGTCTTGTAAAAAGCCCAGTCAATGGCTGGGGGAGACTCTGGCAAAGAAGCAAGCCTGTTAATAGGAAAAGTACATTTCAAGTGTTAGAAATTTCAGGCTATTTCTAGTTCTACAGCTAATCCCCCTTCTTGTCACACATCCTAAGGGTGGCTAGTTAAGCTGTTAATGCTGTCAGAGATTCAGCAAGTCATAAGTGAACTTTGTAAGAACCTGCTGGAACATACAACAGTTAATGGACAGCTAAGATTTAAATTTTGACACACAACCCAATGTGGTATATTCTGTCTGCCTATTCCTGCACTTTTCTGATCATTGCCCTGCAAAGACAACATGGTGTAGTGGTAAGAATGTCAGACTACGATCTGGGTGACCAAGGTCTGCATCCTCAGTATGCAATAGAACCTTAAGCCAGTCACACAGTCTCAAACTAATCTACATCAAAGCTGTTGTTTGGCTTTGAGGTCATATTTGTAATCTGCCTTGTGAGCAAAAATTCTACTTTGTGAGCTACGCGCATTAAAGTTGTGAGCGAGCAATTTGGCTACTGCATAAATTAGTTTGCTCTGAGTCTGGAGCCATCCTTCCTAAGACAAAAATATGTGAGCCGGAGGCTAAAAAACTGTAAACTAGCTCACACTAACTCAGTTTAGAGGAAACACTGTTGGTAACACAGATCACCAATATTTCATTATGACCATTTTTATCATAAAGATGGGCAGCACATAGGCTTGTAAGCCAAAGAAAGGGTATCATGAAGTTGCCAAACAGAATAAAAGGCAATTGTCCAAGTCTATCCACTTCAACCAACTATTTCAGTAACAATTAAAAAACAGAGCCCTGACAAACTAAATATTTTGCAAAAAGCAGTGTAGTATGAGGTTTAGATCCACTGAACACTGCAGCAGTGAAAGCAACTGCTAGCAACAGAACATAATTCATTCAAGTAAAAATCAGTATCACCAATAAGGCAAAGCTTGAAATCCCTCTACCCCAAACACAAATAAGCATTTCTCCTGAAAGCAAGATCTTCCTGCCTCACAAATGCTATTCTTACACTTAGAAAGTACTCACTTGGCTGAGAGTGTATCACTGCGCGTTTTCAGGGCATTGAACATGGGTTTCTGATTGGGAGGCACTCGTTCAGCAAATGCCACCCAGTCTATTGCTTTCAAAGCAGCTCTGCGGCCAGCCATTGTTGCAGACTACAAATTCAAGAGAGGAAAGTAAAATATGCAATAGAGCAAAACAAGACTACAGTGATTTGTGCCATGATAATTTTATACCTTGCAAAAATCAAGGAAACACCCTAAACTAAATGTAGCATAAGCTCCATGAACTCAACAATATTTATTTATTGCTGAATAACAAAAGCAAGAAATTGCAAGTAGATAAATAGGTACCGCTTTGGTGGGAAGGTAACAGTTTTCTGTGTGCCTTGGCATTTAATCATGCTGGCCACATGACCACAGAAACGTCTTCGGACAGCACTGGGTCTTTGGCTTGGAAATGGAGATGAGCACCGCCCCCTAGAGTCGGATTTGACTAGCTTTCGAGCAAGGGAAACCTTTACCTTTAGACCTATACAAGAAGAGGGACCGCAATACTCGCGGGGGAGGCCTCTTCAGGGCTCAGAAAGTGGGAGAGGCGTGCATACGTGAAGCCAGGCTGCCGTGCAAGGGTAGAAGCGCTCCCGTGTGTGAGGGAGCCAGCGAGGCGGACCACCGGGAGATCGGGGGGGGTGCCAGGCGCAGAGAAGGCAGCTGCAGAGGGAAGAGAGAGAGCCGTGGTGCGATGGGTGGGCACAGGGACTCCACTGTGCCAGCTGGCCCCCCAACCCAGCCGGCGAGCGGGCGCTGGGGAAGCAGCAGCAGCCGGGTGGCCCCGCATTGGCTGCAGGGGGGTGGGGGGATGGCAGTGGCGAGAGGCTCTGCGACCACCTGCTCTTCCACAGTGCTAAGCCGCCGCCTGACTACGCACTTTTGGGGGGATTTAAACAAAAAACCTCCCCCCCCAGCAGCGACAGCGAGGCCCGCGCAGCTGCAGGCCCACCAAGCTCCCCCCTGCAACGGCTGTGAGGCACCGTTTCCTGCGCATGCGCAGGGAATGCTTTTCTATATTTTGGGGGATTTTAATATCCCCCCTATATTTTTTTACAGTTTTTAGATTTTTGTGCACATCTGGGGATTGCCCCAAATGTGCAAGAAAATCTCCCTGCCCCCCAAGTGCCCCCGATGTGTGGATTTAGATATCTGCACGGAGGGGGCATATTGGGAATTAGATATATAGATATTGTGAGATAATAAAGCCTAGAATATTATGTACTTTTCAAGGCTCACCCAATAAAATAAGAAATTGCTTTTCAAAGCAATAAGGTTACAGACAAACTGTGTTGTAGCTACAACGGTTCATAAAATATTCAAAGGGCAAAATGCACAAAACTAGGGACATGACAGTCAATATTAACCTCTCCTTTACATGGTGCAAATGCCCTGTTCCTAAAACCGTAGACAGAGGCAAATCAAGGCTTGGCCACCAAACTCCTATCATCGGTCAATACAAAGAAACCCCAGCAAAATGCAGAAGAGTACACAGTACAGCAGGAGAGTATATTGTTCAACAACCTTGAACGGACTAGAAAAACCGGAGCCTGGCCAGTGCCAAGATAAGATACCGGGGAACCCTATGGAGTGGGATACAATCGTTACAAATAATAGCAATGAGAGACCAGTGAAAGGACGAACAAATGCCGCATAAAGGACCCTTTCCTCTGCCCGGTCCGCTTACCCACCGAGAACTAGAAAAACTGAGTGTTCTTCACTCACCTTCAGCAACCCTTTACTTCTTACTCCCACCGGAAACGTCCTTCCGGAAGCAGAGCTTGAGAGCAACCAATCAGAACAAAAATTCCCGGAAACAGTCCTGAGCCGGTTATGGCTGGGAGGGAGGGATAGAAGTACGATTAAATAATTAAATAATATAATATAAATATATATAAACGTAAAACAAAGCCATAGACTATTTTAAAAATGCATAACTACCATACATACTGTAATCGCACCTTCCGCACTACAGCTGAACGATTTTTACAAGATAAGTGGCCATGCCAAACACATTGATCATAGAGATGCTGAAGCCTAGAGCGACACCAATTGATGGCCAATGGCGGATTTCAGTTTTTACCGGAAGTTCCTTCTGTAGTTTAGTCCAGGGCTCTCTGAATCTATGCGCCGCCGAATTTCTATGTTTTTTTCCGGTGTACAAAAAAAATCCACTCAGAAGATTATTTCTACAATCCCAGAAGTATATTCTCCTTCTACTTCAGACGTTTACTTTTTAAAAAAATTCTCTACCGTCATTGGCTTTGTAGTCGTAGGAAGCGAGTCTGAAATGGTATAAAGCTCCAAGTTGGTCGTGTTGGTCTGAAGCAGTAGAACACGTTTAGAGTCCAGTGGCACCTTTAAGACCAACAAAGGATTATTCAAAGTATGAGCGGCACACGAACGCTCATACCTTGAATAAACCTTTGTTGGTCTTAAAGGTGCCACTGAATTTGTTCTATATTGGAATGGTATGACTCTGTCTGAAAGAATAGTTGGTGACCCGGAAGTGGCTTTTCATCCCGGAAGTCCGGCTCTCCCTGTCAGCGGAGGCTAAGGAGATGGCTGCTGAGGCCCGTCGAGCAAAGCTCCACTTTCTCCATCCTGGTCGTTGAATTATAGTGGCCGCTGCCCGCCCATCCTACGTCCAGGGAGAACCCGTAGTCGAGAATGGCGGAGCTGGCGGCAGGGGAGGGGCCGCTGCGGGGCCGCACGCCGAGCCCGCTCCCGCTCCCGGGGCCGCCCAGTCCTCGCCTGGCTGTAGCTCCCGCCTGTCCGCCGCGCAGTCCGGAGCCTTCAGCGCCCGAGAAAGTTACGCCGGGAGGCGGTGGAGGCTCGAAGTGGGTCCGGCTCAACGTGGGAGGCACCTACTTTGTGAGCACCCGCCAGACGCTCTGCCGCGAGCCCAAGTCTTTCCTCTGCCGCCTCTGCTGCCAGGAGGGGCCCGAATTGGGCTCCGACAAGGTGAGAGGTGGCCACGGGGCTGCCCTGTAAAGCAGCCTGATTCTCCTTCCTCGCGGCGTTCTTGAGCAGTGCATCGTCGCTCCCTTCCCCCTCCCGTCTTGTCTCCTAGTGGAGATGGACAGAAGAGAAGGATGCTGAATGGCCCTTGGAATGCATGAAATCTTGGTTGTGCTTCAGGAAAGCCCTTTCTGATACTGTAATGAAACAGGCCAGTTTATATAAAGGTGTGAGAGAGCGAGATCTATAGCCACTTCAGCTGCCCAAGGCTGTGGTAGGAGCCTCTGTTCCAATCAAAAGAATGGGTGGTAGGTGCTTCATGTGTACACTACATGCTACTGAAATTTAGGTCTCCGTAATCTTTCAGTAGCTTTCATTGGATTTGCACATAGATGTGGTGTGTGTACCTTTCCCATTCATTCTTCTCTCTCCCACACTTTTGATGTAGAAAGCATTGTACTCAGAGACTATTTAGTGGGTGTTACGTTACCATGGTGTGTATTTGACCACCAGGTAGGTCAGTTGTTTATATTAATCTTGCCACACACCAGATGTGATGCAAAATGATAGTTATTTGTATCCACATACTATACTACTACTATAATCCTACTGTACAATATTTCCTATAACTCACCATACACTCTCTAACAATGTATCATAGTATCTGGAGAGTTCTGCAAACATGTTTGGAGGGAGGGATCATTCTCAATTATGTATTCAGAAGCCTAACAGAAAAATTGCAGTTTTGTGCCTCATCTCAGATGGCTAGAGTTTCTAGACCATCCAATTCATCCTTTAATGGAATTCTTGTTACATAGTTCTCCAGCTACAGGAGAATGTTAGCTATTAATATGAAACTAAAGTAAGGGGCAGAGAACTCTCCCACTAGCACAGCTCATACTACAAAAAAGTTAGAGTTTTGCAAGTTCCAATTATGTTTAAGTTAATCAGCTGTATACGCCCACACACATACCTAAGAATCTTGTTGCATGCACATGCATGCCTCCTTTTAGGAAGTTCACAGGATTATTGTATCCATACCACGACAGGGAAACAATATTTCAGAAATACAGTTCTTCCTTGAAAATAAAATCAGTGTTATCCAAACACAGCCCTTTAGGCATCAGATCAGTATTCTCTTTCACCCTAAGTCAGTTAATCCATGCCACTTTCCTTAGGAACAGCACACATAACCTGTAATTACAATCATGGTATTTGCTATAATGTGATAATTCATACCTTTCTAGTGAAAATATTGACTAAGTATATATGATTATGTTTTGCCCCAATCACCTGTTCTCTCCCTGATGCAAAAATATGACATTCTTTCTTTTCTATTGAAGGATAGGAACAGGGAGGACCAAGAAGTGTACCAGAAATATGCACCAACTGTTTTGAACACAAATAGTAGAGCTATATACTATCAAAGTTTGGTCTTTGACTAAAATCCTAAGCCCAAATTCTGCCTGCCGTATCTAACTTTGTCACAACTATAGTCAGTGGCAAAAGGTACCAATCTTGGATTAATAAAGGGAAGCACATAAGAAAATTCAGTCAAAATTTATGTTATAAGGCAGCTTGCCCTGTTTCTGTCTAATACTTAAAACTGTTTCTCAGAATAAATATGTCTAAATAGGATAGCTTCTTTCAGAGTATGATGGCTGATCATTTTGAAATATTGTGGGGGCTTATATGACTAATCTATAATTATATGGCCCTTTAGGGTGAAATTTTAATTGAAAAACTAGGGATATGCTTAATGGCTACTGGCTTGGGGGGAAGCCAACATATGTTCTAGAGAAAGTAAATCAGGCAGAGATCTAGATCTTGTTTCCAGCTTTCTTAGTAATTCTTTTAATTATTGAGCAAGTCACCGAATAAATTTGATTGCATTGCCCCGTTTATGTAGAATAGAAGTATTTTTACTACATCTGGAGAGTCCTGATGTGACAGTTTTCATGTTTGACAGACAATAGGATTTACAATTTTGTCCTCCAAAGTATTGCCAATTTTAAGATGCTGCCTCAAATACAGACATGAACAGTTTCAAGCATGAGAATAAGATCAAGTAATTAAGCAGAATGCCTTGCATAGGTGGTGGCCTACTTTTTTAATTGCATCAGGGTGTCATCTGATGACAAAAGCAGGATTGCTTTCTATGTAACCCACAGGAGCTTAGGAACTCACATACGCATCCATTCCCTTTCCCTGATTCCTTTATAAAATCGACACGTTAACCGTAGTAACATTTACGCTCTGTCTCCAGTTAGCATAAAATCCTCAAATCAAAATATGTAAATAGGCTATTCCTCAGCTTCCAAATAAAGACCAGAAACTGGTAATCTTTTGTTTCACTGATATGCATGTATATGTGCATAGTATTGTTAACTAGGTAATCAAAATAATTTTTAATTTCAATAATAATTTTCATGACAATGAACATTTGGGGCTTTTATAATTATTATCTTAAGTCTCTATTATTAAAAGTTTGTTACTGTTTTGAATCAGTTGACCCAAGTTTTATTTAAGGAGAGAGTTGGTAAATATGGCTACACGAGAAACTGTTGTGACTTAAGGGTCCCATTCTTTTTGGCTAGGTGATTCAGGATAGATTTCACTAATTCAAAAAGAGCCCACTTGATTTATTGAGACGAATACAGAGTTGTTGAAGGAAGCCAAATTCCCATTTCCACAGCCAAATATCCTTGTTCTATTGAATTGTCCATTGTAGCATCCGAATCTGACACTGGTAAATCTTTGACAGGATGAGACAGGAGCATATCTCATTGATAGGGATCCCACGTACTTTGGTCCAATCCTGAACTACCTCCGACATGGGAAACTCATAATAAACAAGGAGCTAGCAGAAGAAGGTAAGCAAGAGGGATTGCTGTGCTTTATATTCTTGCTATGCTTATGAATAACCAAATGGATCCTAAATAGATGTACGCCATACTTTGGCAGAATTTGGTGCACTTAACCACACAGATTTCAGTGGACTTTAGTGTATCCAATTTCAGGCTGGAGTGAGGCCACAGTCCACATATTCTTTTATCATAATAACATGGTGGTTTACTATAATCAAATCCCCAGAGGAGCAATACAAAACCAGTTTTGCTGTACGCAGAAGCTTGTATTTATGTGGTAAATTTTGATTCCATCCAAGGCATTCTGTCAACAAAAGTTGGTGGCTTTTTTATATTTTTGTTTTCTATTAGAGGAAGGGACTGCAAAGGCAAAACCTGTGAAAAATCTTCCGACAGAGGGATACTTTTCTGCTAGAATCCCAGATTATTCTCATTTTCTGTAGTGAGAGGAGTAATATGCACTCATTCATTTGTGAATAGAAATGTCTTCAGGTCTTTCTAGTGGGGCTAGTGTCAGCGTACCTTAAGGTGGGACATCTACCAGAGCCCACAGCCATTGACCCTCTTGCCTACATTGTTCCTCTGCCACTCACCCATGCATCCTTCCCCCTCTACTCACAAGTACTCCTCCAGTGCCACCTGTGCTCCTGGCTAAAAATGCTGCCCAGTGCCTCCAGGGAAGGGCATGCAGGTGGTATGTAGAGGTGGTAGCACTTCTGGTGGCCATGGTAGTGGCACTCCCACATGCACACGCATCCCCACACTGTCAGTAAAAAGGAGATGATGAGTGGATCTGCAAGCAGATGGGGAAGCACAGGCCTGAGGAGCATGCAGATGGATGGGCACGAAGGGAAGCACAAGGAGGAAGGCCTGCACGTAGGTACAGGAGGAGAGGGACCCACTGGGCATTTTCTAGCTAGGGCCTCCCAAAACCTGAAACTGGCCCTGGTTTCTAGTAGTACTTTTGTGTTCTTCTCTTTCATTATTTGTTCCTAACAAAATGAGATTTCAGTAGCTATGTTGATTTGCAGATTTAATTACTGGTTTTTAAATAAATTTGAATACAGGGAAATATCAGAGTATGGGAGACTTTAGAGGATCGTTTTCTCTTCTCTTTCTGAAGACTAGAGTAATTCCTAGCTGTGTTTTTATTCTCACTTTTAGGAGTGCTGGAGGAAGCTGAATTTTACAACATTGCATCTCTAGTACGACTTGTGAAGGAGCGAATACGAGACAACGAAAGCAGAACTTCTCAAGTAAGGCATGTTAAAAGACAAAAGAAGGGAAAAGTTTGTTGTTTGAAATCATTTGTCTTGAACTGGAATAACTCTGCACTGGGTTGCATTGTAAGAACTCTCTGAAAGGAAAGAAGATGATTTCTCTCCAGACCTGCTAGTAACCACTGCTTTTGCCACCTCTTGGAAAGACCAAGTGGGAAGGGAAAATACTACTGCTAGGAGCCAACCTCAGGGGAAGGCCTTGGCCTCTGTGCCCTATTTTTTGGCCCTCCATGGTAAACTGGTTGACTGCTTTGTGAAACAGGTTGCTGGAATAGATGAAACAGATGGACCACTGGTCTGATTCAGCAAGGCTGTTTTCATGTTCTTAAGTGTGTGGGGGGGAGCATTTTCTCTGCCTGCAGGTTGCCTTCCACCAAGACCTCAGCAGTTCACAAAGAGCTCTCTGTGGCAAAATGATCCTTGTAAAGGGTTCTGGGAGCGACACTTGCCAGGTTGGGGAGGAGAGCTTACTGTTGGCAAGCGAGTGGATTTTTGAGACCCAGCTCAGAATTCAGATTTTTAAAAATGATACAGGGTCTAAAATCTCCAACTTTGCTACAAGGTTAGAAGAGTGGAATAAATTGTGCACATTTGTGAACATTTACTTTTCATGCTTTCTGATAATATGTTGGGAATTTAGGGTATATTTTCTTTCAAGAGGAAGAAAGGATGAGATTGGAATACTGGTGGCATAGGTACTTAGCCATGTGCCACCAAGAGAAATTCCCGTGTGTGTGAATTTCAAATAAAGCTTATGCTCAGCTGTGTTATTATAGTGAAATTTAAACACACCACTCTCTCTGGGCTGTGCCAGTGCTCAGAAGGAAAAGTGGGATTTGTGCTGAGTTCAGAAATTCTGTGTGTCTGGCTACTGGAGGCTGTACCCAGTTGAGAATGCTGGAGAGAATGGTGGATTCTTTCTCCACCTTTCCCATTGGCATGGTCATTAATTTATTAAATTAGATTTCTTAACCGCCCTTCCCCACTTGCGTGGGGCTCAGGGCGGTTTACAACAATTAATTCAATACATTATAAAATCAACTAAAACCATAAAAATGTCATCACATGTGACACTTATGTCATGTGCAAATATTCACCAGCTTTGGTACAATATGTTGCTGTTTATTCTCCTGATGCAAAATCATAGCTACATTTCCTTTACAAACAACCAAGCTGCAAGGTTTCTAACTTGTGAGTTGTTTCCCCCCCTCTTGTGTTTCAGGGACCTGTCAAGCATGTGTACAGAGTTTTGCAGTGTCAAGAGGAAGAGCTCACCCAGATGGTGTCTACTATGTCTGATGGCTGGAAATTTGAACAGGTATTCAGTGTTAATGAATATTTCCATACCCAGAAGAAGGGGGCCATTTGTGTGGGATTGCCCCCAATTCACTGGGCTTATATCATGGCTTTCCTCTCCTTGTGGCAGAGCAGAGGTGCTTGGGCTCAACACACTACATACTGGCAGGCTAGACGCTGTAAGCCAGAGACATCTGGCAGGTCAGCAGCTTCCCAAGACCCGTGCTGAGGCTGGCAGGGTAGTAGCCACAGCAATAGGCACCAGGAGAAGCCCACTTCTGGTCAGCCAGCAGGCTTTGGCAGGAGTGGGGGTGGAGGCGTGGCTGGCTGTGGCCAGCCCCGTGGTCCAACTTTTCATGTGCCACTGCCACCTGGCCCCACCACCATCCCATTATTTGCTTTTTAACAAGAGCAGGGAAAGAAGGATGACAGCAGCCTAGTAAAATGTGAACATTGATGTATATTTTCATTGCAACCCTTTTAGAATATAGGGGATATTACAAGTACAACACTGTACCTAATCTGCTGTTGTGGCCATTCTAATGCAAGGGGAGGTCTGGTTTCCGAAGCTACAGGAGATGTTCTCTGTTAGAGGAACCTGACTCCAGGCTCGACTTCCTGCTCCTTCACCTCCCCCCATCAGCTAATTACTGCTACCTGTTCAGTGATGGTGATTTTACATTCAGCAATGAGGATCTCTAGAATCAGCATGGTGTCTTCACTGTGGGAGGCTTTTGCAGAATGCACTTTAGCTAATATACTCTATTTTTCTCAGATAATTGGTTTTGGATTGATCCTTCGGTCTCACAGTATGGCCAACAAGTTCCCTCTGGGTGAATTGGAATTCTCAGTTTTTTTCATATTGGTATTTGTTATTACATTTAGCCATCATTAGGGGGCTCTGTAGAACTTCAAGACTTTTTCCCAAGAAATGTGCTGCTGTTGGGGTATGACCAGATGGCAGCTACCCACACTCCCTGTTTTAGGGTGCTGCAGAACTCACTTGCAGATATTTTCTTCAGGAAAAGGCAAGTAATTGTTCCCCCTGGGATATTGTTCTGCTCAAGTCAGCCGTCCATACAAGTTGAGTTTCCAGCATTGGTTCCTCTAATCTGTGTCTGGGCAGAGATCTGCACAGATGCCACCCAACCCCTCTGGATAGCAAGAATGAAGCCACTGTACACACGGATTCAGAGTTACCCACATGCCCTGTTGCACTTTTTGAGGTAACACAGGACGCAGTAAAGTCTGTTTCATATTCATTCCTGTTTACTGAATATGGCCATGAAATTAATCCTTATGCTCAGGTTGTCCTTAAGCTTAAAATAAGCAGGTCTTAAATTTTAGCAGCCCATGGAACTCAGAGCCCTCCCCTCCTCCCTCAGAAGTGCCTGCTGTGTGCTGAACAACTTCCTTTTAAAGACCGTGGCAAGGCATGTGTGCCCCATAGAGGCCTTGTGTCCTCCAAACAACAAAATGAAAACTAGGTCAGCTACACTTTAGAAGCAAATTTAAATGTTTGTATTGTCTATATACGTGGCCAATAAGGTAAAGTCTCAGAAGGTAGCTGATACTATAAGGCTACAGTTCAAAAGGCCCCAACCCAAGTTCTGATCAATCATGCCCCTTGATTGGAAGGGACTTTGTGCTAGAGAGAGTGAGACTTTTCCTTATTGGCTAATATTTTCCAGCTCTAGAGGGTGGTAGAGCAAGGCTAGGAAGGGGCTAGGAAAAACTTTCAGAGCCACACATAGAAATAAAAGACCAGTGTCCCACAAAACCTAAACTTCTGGTGTTCACTTGAAAACTGCCATTTACTGCTAATGTCTATAGATACAGAGTAGCACATCTCTTTATACTGAAATACTTTGTGTCGGAAGAGTTTGATTTTATACCAGGAGTAACCAACAGTTCATTTTTAGACTAGGAGTAACTATGATTGTAGTAGAACTGTTATCTCCTTGGTGCTGCTCAACCAGTGTAAGAAAGAACTATTGGATTTGGGCAGCCAATTAACACATTTTCTGACCGATGCTCTGAGGATATCTGGAAGATCTGTGACTGCAAGTGGTGGTGACATTATGAGCTCCAGCCCATTGAAAGAGGAGGAACCTCATTCCATCTCCTGAGCCTGAGAATCTCTTCTAACCTTTTATAGAAAACTGAGAATACTCTACTAATTAATAATAATTATCGTATGGCAGTGGGTTTAGTCTAGCAAAGGAGCTGCGGTGGCTCAAGTGGTTAAGATGCTGAACTGCAGGCTGTGGAAGGTCAGTAGTTCAGCAGTTCGAGACCCGGGTGCCGCATGACGGAGTGAGCTCCCATCTCTAGTTCCAGCTCCTGCCAACCTAGCAGTTCGAAAGCAAGAAATTGCAAGTAGATAAATAGGGACCGCTTCGGTGGGAAGGTAACAGCGTTCCGTGCGCCTTGGTGTTTAGTCATGCTGGCCACATGACCACGGAAACGTCTTCGGACAGCACTGGCTCTTCAGCTTGGAAACGGAAATGAGCACCGCAACCCTAGAGTCGGATTCGACTGGCTTTCGAGCAAGGGACCCTTTACCTTTACTTTAGTCTAGCCAGGAGATCTGAAGATTGTCTGACAGCCTGAAACTCTAGCTCTTTTTGTGGTGAGCTAGGTTTGTTTTTTGGGCTGAGAGAAATATCACCCAGCTGGCTTCATGTGGAGGAGTGAGGAATCCAACCCGGTTCTCCAGATTAGATTCCGCCGCTCTTAATCACTACACCAAATTGACTCTCTGAGAAGATTCTGTTTTCACACTAGCCACATGGGCATGGGGGAGTTCCTCATGTAGCCTCATAGGTCTCTGGACCCCAGTTTGAGAGATGCTGCTTTACTCTCTGAGTTTGCTCTCTGAAAACTCTCGTGATGTGTTTTTTCCAAGCTGATATAGCAGTGCTGCTGCCTTGACTGTTCAGGTATGCATTGAATAGTGTACTGTCTTGCATCTCTGTATTCAGATTAGTTATTTCTTTTGATACCAGTGATGCTTATTGCCACTACATAATCCTCATAATTATGAACTATGGGGTATTATGAATTATGGGGTCTGAACTGGCAGAGACTGATCAAGAGAGAGATCTTGAAGTCGTAGAAGATAACTCACTGAAAATGTCGAGACAGTGTGTGACTGCAATAAAGAAGGCCAAAGCTATGCTAGGGATTATTAGGAAGGGTATTGAAGGGTTCAATGTGGCCAAGTGCAAGGTGATGCACATTGGAGCCAAAAATCCTAAATATAAATACACATTGATGGGGTCTGAACTGGCAGAGACTGATCAAGAGAGAGATCTTGGAGTTGTAGTAGATGTCGAGACAGTGTGTGACTGCAATAAAGAAGGCCAATGCTATGCTGGGGATTATTAGGAAGGGTATTGAAAACAGATCAGCCAATATCATAATGCCGCTATATAAATCAATGGTGCGACCTCATTTGGAATACTGTGTGCAGTTCTGGTCACCACACCTTAAAAAGGATATTATAGCTTTGGAAAAAGTGCAGAAAAGGGCAACTCGAATGATAAAAGGGTTGGAACACTTTCCCTATGAGGAAAGGTTAAAGCGCTTAGGGCTCTTTAGCTTGGAGAAAAGACGACTGAAGGGTGACATGATTGAAGTTTACAAGATTATGCATGGAAAAGAACAGGTAGAGAAAGAGGTACTTTTCTCCCTTTCTCACAATACAAGAACTCGTGGGCACTCCATGAAATTTCTGAGCGGTCAGATTAGAACGGATAAAAGGAAGTACTTCTTCACCCAAAGAGTGATTCACACATGGAATTCACTGCCACAGGAGGTGGTGGCGGCTACAAGCATGGACGGCTTCAAAAGGGAATTAGATAGGCATATGGAGCAGAGGTCCATCAGTGGCTATTACCCACAAGGTATAGATAGGGGCTCTGGGGCAAGTGATGCTCTGTCTTCTTGGTGCTTGGGGGGGGCAACAGTGGGAGGGCTTCTAATGTCCTGGCCCCACTGGTGGACCTCCTGGTGGCACCTGGTATTTTTGGCCACTCTGTGACAGTGTTGGACTAGATGGGCCTTTGGCCTGATCCAACATTGGCATCTCTTATGTTCTTATGTTCTTATGAACTAATCCTGTTGTTCATCAGTTTCCTGTATTTTTCACCATATGTACACTCTGCTGTTTTCATTTATTCCAAAACTGTTCTTATTTTTGCTTAATCTTGGGAGTTGTATGCTCATATAAGCAAGTGTGCATCTCCCATCAATGCACCCAATCTAAATGACAGTTACAGGTAGACCTGTAACATTCCCTGATACAGAGCCAGCATGGTATGGTGATCTGTGTCCAAACAGGATCCTGGGAAACCTAGTTTGAACTGCCCACTCTTCCATAAAAGTTTGCTGGATGACCTTGGCCCAGTGACACACTCTCACGGAAGAGGAGAGCAGTGTAAGCTGCTTTGGATCTCTATTGGGGTAGAAAGGATATATAAATTAAGTAATATAAAAGTACATAAATATTTATTTGTTGTCACAGTAGCATGGCAGAGAATCCTTTCTAGTCCAGCATCCTGTTTCCCATAATGGCTACCTTAGATGCCTCTGAGAAGCACACAAATGGTTAATAAAGGCAGTCACCCTACCACCCCACATGGAGCTCAGTGATACACTCTGTAAAAATACACCCAGACAACCTCTTAGTTTCAGAGAATCACAGCATTTCATTTCTAGGGGTTAAAAAATGAAAGTCTTGATGTTCCCTTAGGCGCTCTGTAAACTTGGATGCAGAGGAACATAGTGCTTTTTTATGACTACATGGCTGTTTGATGCTTCCTCCTATGGTATCTGGAACTGACTGACCACTGTTGGAAAAATGATACTATGCTAGGTGAAGTATTAGTCTGATCTTATAGGCTACTCCTTACATGTATTGTTTTTAACACATACATTATCTGTGCTGCTTTCCTTTTCATCAGCTGATCAGTATTGGCTCTTCCTACAACTATGGAAATGAGGACCAAGCAGAATTCCTCTGTGTTGTATCCCGAGAGCTCAATAACTCTACCAATGGCATCGTCATAGAGCCTAGTGAGAAGGCAAAGGTAAGGCTCTGGGAATCATTTTTCTTTATACCCAGAGTGAAGTCAAACCTTTGGATGCTGTAAACTGTGTAGTTCTTGCAGTCGCAGTTTTGAGACTTCCAGACAATACAACCTCCTCCTGCACATCTGTAGAGATAAGCATTTCAGCAAAGGGAGAACAACAGGGATAGGAATGCAATAGCAATTAACAAGACACAGAAGGAACTCCCCAACCCCCATGGCAGCATAGCTGACACAGACTGGCAACAGTTTTCCGTAGTCTCAAGTGAAGGTCTTTGGTGTTGCTTACCATCTTATCCTTTTAGTGGGAGATGCTGGGGTTTGAACCTGGGACCTTTTGCATGCCAAGCTGTCACGGCTCAGGTGGGGTGTCACCTTATGCTGCCACCACTGGTTCCAGGCTTCCTTGAGAAGGCCCAGAGCACCCCCCCCCCAAGACCTTTAGACCTCCCTTTTGGCCGAATAATAGGCGTGAGGACCAGGCAGAGTGAACAATGAAAATAGTTTATTGTATAGGAGGTCAAACAACAAGGTGCAGAAATATAACAGTAAGTGGGTGAAAAGAAAAGAAATCAAATGCCATAACATGTCTAAATATATACTGTCCCTAGCTCAGTATTCCAAGTGGCACTAGACTACTCACCCTTCCCTCAGGATGAGGGCCTCTTCCCTGCAGCAGCCTTCCTTCTGGTCTGCCCTCTGGCAGAAAGAACAGTTTTTCCTGCTTCTCCTCCAGATCTTTTATTCCAAGCCCTCCTCTTTTCCTGTTGGTCAATTTTGGCTTCAAAACCTCTCGGGGGCTTCTGGGAGTTGTAGGCCCAGCCTCACCGACTGCTAGCCAGGCTCCCTGGGCCTAGTAGGCCTCTGGTGGCACAGCCCACATCATGACACAAGCAGATGCTCTACCACTGTGCCACAGCCTCTCCTGTCCTGTTTGGTGCCCCCTTCTGTAATATGGAGATGTTTCTTGCATAGAAGTATCAGCAGTGAGCATGGTAACATATATGCAGACATTTATGCTGTTGTCTTCATCACTACATTTTATATTGGTATTTAAGACTGAATGATGAAAAAGGATTGTGCCTTTAATCTTGCTTTCCTGTTCTTTTTCAAATAAGTGCAGCAAAAACTAAATCCAAGTTAACTGTTGTTATATTGGTGCTTCTGTTTTCTCAGATTCTTCAGGAGCGAGGATCCCGGATGTAAACTGAGCATCCAACACTATAGAACTCCCAGATGTCAAAAGGGCAATCTAGCTGGGCAGAGCATTTCTCCTGCAGTCCAACATTGCTTTTGTACAGTAATCAAAATAACACAAAGCAAAGCTGAGCCTGTCCTGCCAGTGGAGAATTAATCCTGGTAAAATCCAAAGGCTTTTCCCACCCCAGTTGCAGAAAGCAAAATGGAAAGAAAGGACTCTTCCACCCTGGTAGCCCCATTTCTGTTCTGCCTTTTTCTCCTTGGCATTGATATCATTTCCCCCCTAATAATAGGTGGGCCTACTTCTTGTTTTATTGTGAGGGATGTCCAGGCATCATTAGTCTGGAGTTAATGATGGAGAGCATTGGTGCCGTTTCTTGTACCTAAGTTAGGAAAATTGCCTGAGTTAGATCTAAATGAAAAAACTTTCCTTGGTGTGTGTTTTTATTGGGGGGGGTCACAACCTGTTTTCATTTGCTTTATATTTGTTACTGACTCAGATACTTGTTAGGAACTCTAAAGGGTTGGGGGGGTGTCATATATACCAAGGGACCTTGGCTGAGGATTTTTCTTCTGATAACACTAAAATAGGAGCTTCAGGCATTTCTTACAATGTAGTTTGGTCTTCACTCATCTTTACAAATGTACAATTACATACCCCAACCTTAAGATTCAGTTGTACCATCTTTTATTCTCTCAGTTTCCCCAGAATAGCAGCAATGAAGAGTATGTCCCATATGTCTTGCCTGCCAGAGCTTGGAATATAGTCCCTTGGTTTAATTTAAAATTACTCTGTTACCTGGCAGATTTGTTCCTGCCAAGTTCAGCTTTGCCTTGTCTTGTCTCCCAACAGCATGAAGTGACCACCTTGATCTCCTGCTGTCCTGTATAAGCAGCTTTTCTTTTGTACTATAGTTAATTTGGTAGGCTTTAACAATTCTTATCCAATACCCTCGGGGGATGGAAGGTCCCATATTTACACATGGTGATTCTACACTTTCAGTTCCCCACTTCCTTTGTTATGTCACATTACCCAAAATAACTGAGGGGCATTGCACGGGTCTGGGAGGGGAGGGGGGTGCTGAAAGTTGCCAAACAGTTGTGATGTTTAATGTCTAGTGGTGTGTTAACTTTTTTGTAAACTTTTTTTTTCTTTTCTTTTTGGAATGCCTTGAATGGACGTGAAAATGTTGTGCCTCTCTTGAATTCTAATCTTAGCCAAATGGAACTTGCTGATCTTATCAGTGAATTTGTGCCATCCCTGATCAGTGAAATGTCCCTTCTTACTGTTGGTAAATCGAATCCTTTAAGCGTTTGCTGCATGATACCTTCCTGTCACATCCTGGCTTTGTTCCTTGCTAGTCATCTTGGCTTCTGGGCCTTTGAGTTAAGCCCCAAACATATTAAACCAAAGTTTCAGATAAAAAGGAATGTTTTGGTCTCCTTCAGGCAATAATGGAATCTCCCTTATTAGCCTATGATCGGAAGATTCCTTATTCCAATTGGAGTGCTTAGAATTTCCCTCCAAGGAATTGCAGGCACTGTGTCTTTTCAGTGTTTCATGATATAGGGTCACAAGGCTTCCCGTTCTATTTCTTCCTTAAGGGGTGAGGGGGAGGACAGGGAGAGGAGGGCTGCTAAGGGCATGGAAGGACCTCCTCATGGATGCAGCCAAGGAGTTCAGGTTTGGCACCCAAACCTCCCTGTCCCACATCTTCCGTTGGTAATCACTTTTTCTGTGCATATATCAGTGAGCTTCCCCACGACTTTTGTCAGTATACCTCCCTTAAAATTTTGGAGGGTTAGGGTTTGATTAACAATGACTGATTTAGTCTCTGTAACAATAGACAGTGCCAAAGGTCGTGAGACTAATTGCATCCGTGACAGGCTGCTGAAACTCATCTGGCTCCATACTGTGTTGAATGAAACCAACTTTCCTATCCTACCCCGACCTTCCTGTTTATGATGTGTTGGTGTTGGCTCAATTAGACTGTACGTCTTGGCTGGATCTAACTTAACACTGTGATGTGTATATAAATCTGAGTATCTTGTATCTTCAGCCGATGTCAGTGTATGTCCACAACTGAGAAATAACCAGATGTGTGTATGCTGTTAGACCGTATAAGAACCACAAGTGTATAACATTCATCATCTCTCCTTTTTCCCCAGGGCAGGAGGGGTGGAGAGTGGCGGGGTAGTATTAACTGAAAGATGGAACAGGCTGATGATGCCAAGAGTAGCTGCCATTTCCAACATGGCCTAACCCAACTCAGTCTCACCTTGCTGGGCATATAGCAGTGTTAAGTGTGCTTGGAAGGAGACCTTACTATATAGCTTTAGTTGATCAAAACAAATACCTCATTGCTTTATTTTGTTTTGTGGCCACCAAAAAACACTGTTCATGGAGAAGTCCCATTAGAAGAGTAATTGATGTCAGGATAGCAGTCTGAATAAAAGGAATCTCATTCTTTTGCCTTTACCACCATGCCATTGGGAACAGATCTAGAAGGAAAAAAGATCATGTTAAGAGACGAGCCATAACTGTCATGACACAGCCAGACTAGAAAATGTTTCCTTGTACTAAGGTTGGAACTGACCTTCTCTGTGACAGTCATGTAGTCCTGTATGTTTCTATCTGATAAATGGGGCAGACCTATCCCATCTACCACACTCTACTGCTGACAACTAGTGAGAGGTTTATAGTGGATTTAGTTCTTCACTGGAGTACAGTTGCCTTCTCTTTACCCTCCCTTCTTAAACTCAAGTAATTAAACTTGTTGGAACCCTCCCTGGAATGGCAAGCCGTTTAGTTGGAGATAGAAACAGTATTAGGGATGAGAAAAGCTGTTGGCTTTCCCAGTATAAGGGCTTGAAATCCAGCTATGGCGGGACACTGTTCCAGGTCATCCATTTGTGATATCCTTTCCCTGCCACAGCAGGTCACTCTCGGGCCCTGCTAATCGAAACTGGCTTCCATTTTCTGTACCAGTTGCACCTCTACCTTTTATAGCAACAGGGCTTTTCCTTCCATTTGCCTTTGTAGTCATCAAAATGTTCTCTCCTAAGCTGTAAAGCTGGAAAATAATTAAAAGTCCTGTTTCCCCAGTGGAAGGCAGTCAAATTGGAGAAGAGAAGCAAATGGTAGGGTTGATGTGAATTTGGGGGATTTTGCATCTCTTGGAAAGGTTTTCTCGAAACCATTAGCTAGCCCCTGGGGATCAGTAGCAGGTCCCGTTTCCCAGTGGTCAGTCGTTCCGTTATAGCAAGGTTGGAGTTAACCTCTTATAAAAGTGTCTTTGTTTCTGCACATTCTTAATCAGTTTTTCTCAGGGGTGACTGAGTGGTCCGAGGGGAGGAGGTTATCCACAATGGGGCTGGGGGTTGCTCCTCAGACCTCCACAGCTGGGCCGTGGGCTCCTCACCCTCAAGTTTTGCCTGCAGAGCTAGAGGTTTTGTACAGTTTGTCACATGTCAGTGCCCTTTGCTACTGTTTCTCTTTGTTTATTAAATGTGTTTGAATAATAATGGAGATGCTGTGATTTTTTTTTCCAATAAAGATTCTGACATGACTTGGGAGTGTGATCTGTTTTCTTATGCCTGGTTCCTTTGCCTGTATAAAGAGGTCTTTCTGTGCATTTATTTATTTATTACATTTATACCCCGCCCTCCCAGCCTTGGCCGGCTCAGGGCGGCTTACAACAGCATAAAAACAACAATAAATAGTATAATCCTAAAACCATAACAATCACAACATTTAAAAAGTGCTAACAATAATAGTTTAACAATTTAAACAATTTATTACATCTGAGATGGCGCGCAGACTTCCGTGCCATCCTAGTGGTCGATCCCGATCTAATACTGTATGGGTGGCTCAAGCTGCTTTAAGACTTTCAGGGGACAGGGCACTCTCCCCAGGGGCAGCTCCTAATTGAACCCCTGGTGGAACATTTCTGTCTTACAGGCCCTGTGGAACTGCATAAGTCCCTGCAGGGTCCTGATCTCTGGGAGCTCGTTCCACCAGAGCGGAGCTGCCACCGAGAAACCCCTGGCCCTGGTTGTAGCTAGCCTGGCATCCTTTGGTCTGGGAAGGGTGAGTTGGTCTTAGGACCCTGATCGCAGTGCTCTCTGGTAGACATGTGGGGAAAGGTGGTCCCTCAGGTATGTAGGTCCCTGACCATGAAGGGTTTTAAAGGTAAGAACGAGCATCTTAAAGCGAATTTGGTATGCTATCGGTAGCCAGTGCAATGCCTTCAGCACAGGCTGAATGTGCTCCCGCATTGGGAGGCCCATCAACAGCCTGGCTGCAGCATTTTGCACCAGCTGTAGCTTCTGAATTTGCGATAAGGGCAGCCTCATGTAGAGAGTGTTACAGTAGTCCAACCTCAAGGTGACCATCGCATGGATCACCATTGCCAAGTTGTTGCATTCAAGGAAAGGAACCAACTGCCTAATCAGCCGAAGATGATAAAAGGCCGACTTGGCAGTGGCTGCTACCTGGGCCTCCATTGTCAGGGAGATATCCAGGAGCACTCCCAAACTCCTAACCTCCAGCGCTGGCACCAACAGAGCCCCATCGAAGGTCAGGAGTGGGATCCGTACCCTTGGTCCACCCTGACTCAGGCACAGGACCTCTGTCTTCATCGGGTTCAGTTTCAACCGGCTTAGCCTAAGCCAACCAGCCACGTCTTGTAATGCTCAATCAAGATCTTCTGGTTTGGAGTTGGACCGGCCGCCCAACAACAGATAGAGCTGGGTGTCATCACCGTACTGGTGACCCCCCCAGCCCATGTCCCCGTGCAATCTGGGCAAGGGGGCGCATGTAGATGTTAAATAACACTGGGGACAACACCGCCCTCTGAGGCTCTCCACAGTCAAGTGAGTGCCTTCAGGAAAGCTGTTCCCCCAGCACCACCCTTTGTCCCCGGCCTTGGAGGAAGGAGACAAGCCATTGCAAGGCAAGCCCCTGAATCCCAATGCCAGCGAGGTGGTGGGCCAGTGGCTGATGGTCGACCGTGTCGAATGCGGCCGACAGGTCCAACAACAACGGCACCACCACTCCACCTCAATCCAGATGCCTCTGAAGATCATCTGTGAGGGTGACCAGAGCCGTCTCCATCCCATGACCCGGGCAAAAGCCAGACTGGAAGGGTTCTAGGATGAAAGTGCCATCCAAAAAGCTCTGAAGCTGCATCGCCACAGCCCTATTTCTATTTCTATTTACATTCGACTTGATATCCCGCTCTTGTCCCATGGTTAGGGTCTCAGAGCGGCTTACAGGGTTTTCTGGTGCTAATCACCCTTGTTCCCTAGCTAGGGCCACAGTGTATGAAGGGGGGTGGGACAACCTACCGACACCCCCTCTGAGGTGGCTATTTTTGGTGTTTCTTCCGTCGGCTCGGCATGGTCGGGTCTCTGGGCCAAGCGGAGTTGTTCTTCTCTGGCGCTCCTTCTTTGGCGTTCAGTGGTGGCGATCTTCTCAGGCGTGCAGCTTCACCTGCTTTCCGGCCCGGCCACGTCCTTTTTCGGCTCCGCTGAGCCGGAACTCGGCATCTACGCACGCCCCGTTCTTCTCTCTTCACGGCAGCCCTCGATGTACTCCTTCTCCGCCACCAGGGATCGCTCAAACGCGCGTCTCCTGATTGCGCTTCGCTTCGCTTGCCGCCGCCACGCCACCAATGCCGTCCACGCCAGGATCGCCGCCGCCATCATCGCCGCCATTGCCGTTGCCTCCGCCATCTCCGCCATCTTCAGCCGACCACACAGGGTGCCCCCCCCCCCTCTAAGGGTGGGTACCCATTTACCTACTTGCAATTAGTTGCTTTCGAGACCGCTGGGTAGGCGGGAGCTGGGATAAAGGTCGAGAGCTCACCTCGACCGCGGTGGTACTCGAACAGCCATAGTGGCTGCTCGGGTGATGTTACAGTTACAGTGCAGGCGTTTAACTGCCTGCGCCACTGCGCCACTCGGAAACCGGCCGATAGTTTGCCAATTTGACCGGGTCCAGAGATGGTTTTTTAAGGAGAGGACGTACCACTGCTTCCTTGAGCGCTCCTGGAAACCGTCCCTCCGAGACAGACTTGTCCCCAAGGGCCCCTTGAACCCCCCCCCCCCCCCGTGGCCAGCTTTAATCAGCCACGAAGGGCACGGATCCAGGGAGCAAGTTGTAGGGCGTACAGTCAGAATCAATTTGTCAACTTCCTCTAGGCTGAGCAGGTCGAAATGATCCATAACCTGACCAGAAGACATGCAAGGGGCCTCGAGCTCACTCACTGTTTCAAATGTGGCAGGGAGGTCACAGCGGAGTGATAAGACTTTGTCTGCGAAGTAGCTCGCAAAAGCCTCACAGCCAATATCCAATTCCCTAACATTTGGCTTGCCCTGAGGCAGAGTAGTAATGGACCGAATCGTTCTAAATAATTGGGCTGGGCGTGAGCTCGCAGACGCAATCTTCGCTGCTTTGACTGCCATCTCATAGGATCTCATAAACATCCTATAAGATTCTCTTGTAGCTTCGTTGCAGGCACGCCACCACTGTCTCTCTAACCGTCTTAGCCCTCGCTTCATAAGCCGTAACTCCTGGGTACACCAGGGAGCAAGCTTAGAGCAGGGACGCAGAAGGCACCGGGGAGTGATCTCATTGATGGCCGTCGAGAGCTGGCTGCGCCAGTCCTCTACTAGCTCATCTAATGAGCTGCCATGGGGCATTGCATCTCGAAGAGCCATCTAAAGCCGCACTGGGTCCATTTTGCTCCGCGGGCAAGCTAAAATTTGCTCGCCGCCCAAACAGGGTTGGGGTGGGACATTCAGTCAGGCCCTCAGGGCAAGGTAGTCCGACCATGGCACCACCAGAGCAATGATCCAGTCCACTGTAGCCCCTGCCATAAAGATCAAATCGAGCTTATGCCCAGCTGGGTGAGTGGGGGTCATTACATACTGGGAGAGTCCCAGTGCCGCCATGGATGACACTAGGTTCGCTGCCTGCATAGAGGTTGCGTCATCAGCATGGACATTGAAATCACCCAGGACTATCAGTCTAGGCTGTTCCAGTGCCCAGCCTGAAACAGCCTCCACCAGGGATGGCAAGCTATTAGCCAGTGCGTTAGGCGTTAGGTACACTAGCCAAATTGCTAAACTCTCCCCGGCCTCCCACACCAGGCCGGCACACTCGATGCCCATGATCCTTGGTGGTGGAAATGCCCTGAAGGAGTAAGCCTCCCTAATGAATAGGGCCACTACTCCCCCCCCCGCCCCCTAGTCTGTGATTGGTGAAGGACCAAGAACCCAGGAGGAGCTAGCTGGGAGAGAGCCCTTTCATCGAAAGACTCTTTTTGCCCACAATACGGATGAATTCCTCTCTGATGTAAAGAAGAGTAGGCAAGATGCTCGTTCTCTGAGTGTCCAGTCATTGGGATCACAATCGTCACAGCATTTTAACCCTAGACAACCCAGTTTCCAGAGCAACTTCTATCACCCGCAAAGACCTCTACCTCATCAATACCAGTATCCTTCAAGGCATTACCAAGGGCAAGGTGCCACCTATGGTAGACGATGGGGGGGCCCAGGGCAAAAGTTTCCCCAGATGCAAAAGGGTTAAGGACCACATTATCCTCAACCCCTAAGCTCTGACTACCTCCTCCACTAGCTAACCTGGAGTTGAATTTTAGGGACCGTTTATCCCACTTCTTCTCTACATGGGAGTTAATCTGTTCAGACTCCTGGGTCCTGTCCATTATTCAATTTGGCTATAGATTAGAGTTTTGTTCTTCTCCTCCCCTTTTCGAAGGTTCCTTAGCAACAGATAACCAGTTTCCAGAGCTTTCTGCCCAACTGGGAGAGTTAATTACCAAGGGTGCAATTGAAGAGGTTCCTAAAGGTTTACAAACCTCTGGTTTTCATTCAAACTTTTTTGTGGTTGATAAGAAGGATGGAGGGAGGAGACCAATCTTAGACTTGAGATCATTAAATAAGTCCTTGTTTGTTAAACATTTTGCATGGTTTCCTTAATTTCAGTGATAAATGTGCTCTCTAGACATATGTGGTTCGCTGTGTTGGACCTCAAAGATGCATATTTTCATATTTCAATTCATAAAGAGTAAGAAAGTATCAGATTTAGACATGGAGAAAATATTTCTCAATATACTGTACTGCTGTTTGGACACGCCACAGCCCCACGAGTATTCACTAAATGCATGGCAGTAGTAGTGGCTTATCTACGCACAAAAGGCTGCAATATTTTCCCCTATCTTGATGATTGGCTTTTCACTTCAAATTCCCAACTAAATGTATACAGTTTATCAGAGCCATCCTTGATTCAGAGAGAGGTAGAGCATTCTTACCTCGAGACAGAGGAAAGTCAATTCAGTCGATGCTGGCTTCCTTTAAGAAACATCGGTTTCAGTCTGTGAGTTCCCTCCAACGCTTTCTGGGACTTTTAGCCTCAACCACTGCAGTAGTGTCATATGCCCGACTCCATTTACGTGAGTTGCAGTTGTGGTTCCTTAGGAGGTTTGACCCAACAACACATACCTCCA